GCTGTGGTCCACCCTCAAGCGCGTGGATGTGGAGGCGCTCCGCCAAGACGCTAGAACGTTGCAGCGCACATGTGCTAAGAGAAAGCGTGGGACCCAGAGAAATTTACGACCCTCTTAGAGTGCATGAAAAGACAGGATATCGAAAAAGACTTCGTAACCCTTAAGGACCGTTCGTGACTTGGTCGAAAACAACGAATTAGCTATGGTCTATCATAAATTAGTTTTTAGGAATTTTCCAAGTGAAACTATTCCATTCTCTGGACTTCCGGCCTTCTCTCAGCTCTATCACCCACGTCGAGGGGTTTACAATTTACTCTTTGTTTATTTATATAAGGGTATGCATAGACGATGTTCGAATTTCGCTCTTAATTTATGACCATCGATACAAAGGTCCTCGAAGAACATTCAAGACATATCGATACAATAGACTATCGATAAATATTCCCATGGCAGTGTCGCCACACCACTCTAAACATATTCACGTGATAACGTTTCACGTTACAGCGCAAATGTAAGCTAGGGAGCAGAAGCGCCGTTGCGGCTATCGTCGGTACATCTGGGATATCCCCAAAGGATGAAAGGGTACCGACGGCCTACGTTAGGGAAGAGGTTAGGTTACGTTAGGTTAGGTTAGGTTAGGTTAGGTTAGGTTAGGTTGGGGTAGGACCCCCTGTGGCTGGGGATTAGAATACAGCCAAGGTAACCCCTGCCTGTCGTAAGAGGCGACTAAAAGGGGGGCGCTCGCTGCCACTAGACCGCCTCAATGAGGACCGGGGGCGATGCCGGCGGGGTCCTTGGGCTTCGGTCCTTGGTCTCTGGCAGGTACTACCATGCCGGTAAGGCCTTGGGCTGAGAGGCGACGAAGGCGGCGGCGACGTCACGGTACACCGTAACCCAGTGGTCATGTTTCGCTGGGACGGGGGGCCTGCCTTAATCGGCCGGCCCGTGAGGATGATAACCTCTATAAAAATCCCTAGCCCCAAGCTGCGGTACGCGGTGAGGAGGGTGCCCCTGGAGTTAGCGCCAGGGGTGGCTGGTGGGTGCATCAGTCGCTAGCGACCAACCCCGGGGTACCTGGCGACCCCCCGGGTGTATCAGCCTTGCCCGGGTAAGGCGGCTCTGCCCGGGTGGACGTGCCGGACCGACCCACTCGTGGGACTCGATATGGATGATCAAAAACAAAACATTGGACGGGATGGAACGACGACGAACCAGGCAACACCTAGGACAACGCAAGGGACAACGAGGGATGCGGAGGCGGAGCAGTCGGGGCCCAGCAGGCCCCCGGCTCCCGCCCGAAGTAGGAGGGCGCGACCCTGGTCGGCAGGATCCTCCAGAGGGAGCAGGGCATCCTCTGCTGCCTCTGATAGGGGGCTCTGGCGCCGGGTGGGGGACAGCGACGAGGAGTCTGAGGGATCGGTCTTCTCGTTGTCGCCCATGACCCCCTCCACAGTGACGGCGGCGAGAAGAGGACGCCCCCCTACATCAGGGGACTATGTAAAGCTCGCAGAGAAGAAGGCTGAGTATCTGCAGCTACAAGAGCGGGAATTGGAGCTCCAGGTAACGCGGGAGCTGTTGGACGACGGCGTGGCACCCCGCCAGCCAAGCCGGTCTTCCAAGAAATTAAGGGAAGCCGAGGAGCTATCGAGGGAGATACGGCATCAACCCTCATCGGACCTCGTTGCCCGCGCATTGAAGTGCGCCGAGAAGGTAGAAAAGGTGGCGGGGTGCTCGAAGAATTTGAAGGGCACCTTCGTGCACGCCCTCAGGGAGGCATCTCGGGACCTCGAGGTCGTCGTGGGCGAGCTGGGCCTCAGGGCCCAATGCGAGCGCGACGACCGCGAGGTGGAGCTCCTGAGAGAGCAGCTGAAGGCCCGGGATGCCAGGATCGCGGCCCAGGGCGAGGAATTGGCTGCCATGCGCCGGGAGCTGGAAGCCCTGAGCGCGAGGATCGTCGCCGTGGAGACCCCAGCGGTCCCCGGCACAAGGAAGGCGGCGAGGCCGGCGTCACCGCTGACGGAGGAGGAGGCCGCTCCGAAGAGGACCCGCAGAGCACACACGCCCGAGGGGATTGGGACGGCCTTCCGGACGCGACCATCGCTGGAGGAACCGACGGGGCCTACACCGGCGCGCCCGCCGTCGCACCTCGGGGAGGCCGGCGGGCGGGTTGGGGGTGGCCCTGTCGAGCGCGCGGACCCCGCGGTGCCCGCGAGGGCCGGGGCACCGGAGACGGCTGCGCTCATGGAGGGCATCGCGGCGCTCGTCGCGCGGAGCGCAGCTGAGCTCAGTAGGGAGTTCGCTGGGGAGCTAGCCCGGCTCCGGACCCCCGCGGGCGCCGCTGGGGTTCCCCCTCCCTCCGCTCCCGCGACAGCTGGGAGGAAGGGAAAACAACCGACGAGGCCGACGAAGGGGGCAGCCCAGCCCCAGAAGACGAGGTTGAAATCGGCGGGGGCAGCAGCGTCTGCCCGACCCGCGGCTCCCTCCGGTTCCTTCGTCGAACAACGGATGGCCCAAGTCCAACGGGACCACCGAGCGGCCACTGAGGAATGGGCCAAGGTCGTCGGCCGCAAGGCCAAAAAGGCCGAAGTGGTGAAGAGGAAGGAGGGGGTTACGGCCCCCCCTCAAACCACGGCAAAGAAACCGCCAACGAAGAAGATGGCGGCCGGGACGACCAATCCACCGGCCGCGAGGAAGGAGGGGTCATCGGGGGAGAAGGGAGCCAGGAATGTGGCGAAAAAGCCCCGCCTGGCCCGCCCTCCCAAGACGTCTGCGGTCACCCTGACGGTCGCGTCGGGATCAAAGACCTCCTGCAGCGAGGCCATGCTTCGCGCCAGGCAGGAGGTCGACCTCGCGGAGATCGGGATCACCGATCTCCGACCTAGGCGCGCGGCCACGGGTGGCCTCGTCTTGGAGATCGCCGGGACAGAGAGGGCGGCCAAGGCGGCGGCCCTGGCTAGCCGCCTCCAAGCCGTGTTCAGCGGTGTGGAGGGGGTTAAGGTGGCGTGTCCCGTCAAGATGGGGGAGGTCCGCATCTGCGGGCTTGACGACTCCGTCACCCGCGACGAGGTGGCGGCCGCGGTAGCAACCGCCGGCGGTTGCGCCGCCGCAGAAGTGAGGTTGGGGGAGATCCGCACCCCGCCCCGCGGTTTGGGGAGGGTGTGGGTAAGATGCCCCCTTGTCGCGGCCAATGAGCTGGTCGGCGCGGGGAGGCTGAGGGTGGGGTGGTCCTCACCACGGGTCGAGGCGCTGGCGGCTCGCCCCCTGCAGTGTTACCGCTGCCTGGAGACGGGTCATGTCAGGCAGCGGTGCCCCTGCGGGGTCGATCGGTCGGATCGCTGCTTTAATTGCGGCGATCCTAACCATCGGGCCAGCGCCTGCACGGCCCCTCCGCGGTGCCCCCTGTGTACTGATTCAGGGCGGCCCGCGGGGCACAGGATGGGGGCCAGGGGATGCCCCTCGGTCTCCTCCAACAAAGGGGGGAAGAAGCGCGCGGCGGTGAAGGCGCCGACGGCGAGGACGGGCACGAAGCAGTCGGCTGCTTCGTCGACTGGGGCAGCGGGCCCCAGCAACGAGGGAGCAGCGGTGGAGGCCGCAGGAATGGACACCTCCAATGGGGCCTAGGGGTCCATTCCTGCAGGCAAATGTCAACCACTCGGTCGGGGCACAGGACCTTCTGGTCCAAACCCTGGCCGAGTGGAAGATCGAGGTCGCGGTGGTGGCGGAGCCGCACCGAGTCCCGGACCGGCATGACTGGTTCGCGGACGAGGGGGGCTCCGTCGCCATCGTCCTGGGAGGGACGCGGTTTCCCCCGCCCGCCGACGTACTGGTGAGGGGGCGGGGGTTCGTCGGGGTCGACTGGGGGGGCGTCGCGGTGGTGGGCGTTTACGCACCGCCTAGCTGGACCCGCCTCGAGTTCGAGGAGTGCCTAGACCGGGTGGGGAGCTTCATCTCCAGCTTCCCCGCCCGACAGGCACTGGTCCTCGGGGACTTTAACTCCAAAGCCGAAGCCTGGGGGTCCCCGAGGACCGACGTGAGGGGCAGGGCGGTGCTCGATTGGGCGGCAAGCGTGGGGCTCCTGCTTCTAAACAGGGGCTCCGCCAGCACATGCGTTCGGGCCCAGGGGGAGTCCATTGTGGATTTAAGCTGGGCGTCCCCTGGGATCGGGCGCAGGGTGCGGGGTTGGAGAGTGGCGATGAGGGAGACGTTGAGTGACCACCGGTATATCCGGTTCAGCGTCTCTCTCCCCACCTCCTGCCGCCCGACGCGTGGCGCACCACCGCGTCGCTGGGTGCTGAGGCGGATGGACAAGGACCTGCTGATGGCAGCGGCCCTCGTCGCGGCCTGGCCACCTCTTCCGGCCGGGCCTGTCGCGGACATTGAGGGGGAGGCTGAGTGGTTCCGGGGGGCGATGACCGCAATTTGCGACACCGCCATGCCCCGGGCCTCTCGTCTGCCCCCCCGGAGGGCGGTGTACTGGTGGTCGGGCGACATTGAGGACATTCGGTCCGAATGTCAGCACGCCCGGCGCCAGTGGCAGCGCGCCCGAAGGGTACGGGTCCGCGACCCGGCGAGGGAGGAATTGCTGAGGGGCACGTACCGGGTCTTCGTAGCGGCCCTGAGGCAGGCCATCAGGGACGCGAAGTCCCGGGCACGGAAGGAGCTCCAGGGCTCTCTCGACAAGGATTCCTGGGGGCGTCCGTACCGCATGGTGATGGGCAAGCTTCGCCCATGGGCGCCCCCGGTGTCGGAGAGCCTGGACCCCCAATTGCTCGGGCGGGTGGTGGACACCCTCTTTCCCCGATCGGAGGAGGAGCCACGCCCGCGCGAGCAGCCGGCGGAGCCAGTCGCCTGGTCCGCCGACTTGGAGGTCACCGAGGGGGAACTCGCCGGGGCCATCAAGAAGCTCGGGGCGAAAAACACCGCTCCGGGCCCTGATGGTATACCCGGCCGTGCCTGGGTCATCGCGTCGGGGGTCCTGGGTCCGAGGTTGATCCGCCTCTTTAGCGCCGCGTTGGAACGGGGAGTTTTTCCCGCGTTGTGGAAGGAGGGGCGGCTGGTTCTGCTTCGCAAAGAAGGTCGGCCCGCGGACTCCCCCTCCGCGTACCGGCCCATCGTGCTGTTGGACGAGGTGGGCAAGCTCGAGGAAATAACGTGTCCTCGACCCGCCCCAATAGCTGGGGGTCGAGGCTCTCCGTCACGGGGGGCGCCCAGGGCCTTAGCTTGCCCATAACTAGCTTGCAGGGGCGCCCCCACGGATCCTCCTGCAGAGAGCCGAGGAGCTCATCCATCGCCTGGGATTTGGCCTCCCTGATGGCTGTCTGCAGGGCAACTACCAAGACTCGGTATTGCCCGTACAGATCATCCTCCCTCACTGGGTCGCGGTTCGACCGTCTTCTGCGGGCCCTTTGCCACTGGCGACGGGCGACCTGACAGTTTCGCCATAAGTCGGCGATTTCGCCCGTCCACCAGTAGACGGCCCGCTTGGGGAGGTTCTTGGCCCGGGGCATGGCGGTGTCACACACCGCCTTCATGGCTCCCCGGAACCACTCTACCTCCTCCCCGATGTCCGCGACCGGCCCGGCTGGTGTTGGAGGCCAGGCCAAAGCGAGGGCTGCAGCCATCAGCGCGTCCTCGTCCATCCTCTTCAGCGCCCATCTTAGCGGTGGTGGTCCACGCGCAGGGCGGCGGGTGGTGGTGGAGATGTCGAGGCGGATGTATAGATGATCACTCAACGTCTCCGCCTCCTCCACCACCCTCCATCTCTGCACCATACGTGCGGCCGGGGGAGTCGCGAATGACAAGTCGACTATTGACTCCCCCTGGGCACGCACGCAGGTGCTGACGGACCCCTCATTTAATAGGAGGAGCCCTAATCCCGCCGCCCAATCCTGGACCGCCTTGCCTCTCGCGTCTGTCCTCGGGGAGCCCCAAAGTGACGCATGGGCGTTAAAATCCCCGAGGACCAGCACTGGCCGGGGGGAACAACGGGAGACAAAGTCCCCCACCCGGTCCAGGTACTGTTCAAATTCGGCGAGAGGCCAACTGGGCGGGGCATAAAGCCCCACCACCGCTATGCTTCTCCAAGCTACTCCCACGTAGCCCCTACCGTGCTCCAGTGGAGCAGGGGGGGACCCTGGGGAGGCAATTATCGCCACGGAGCCGTCTTCGTCCCCGAACCAATCTGTTCTGTCGGGGACTCTGTACGGCTCCGCGGCTACCGCCAATCCAATTTTCCACTCGGCCAGGACGTGCAAAAATAGATCTTGGGCCCTGGCCGAGTGGTTCAAGTTGGCCTGTAGAATCGGGCCCTCAGGCCCCATAATCAGGCTTTAGTAGCCGCCTCCGCGGCACTACCTCCCGCCTTCCTGGCCTTGAGGTCTTTCTTCCCTCCTTTCTTCCTTTCGGCAGCCTTAGGCTGCGTTGCCTGGGAGGGGGCTGTTCCTGCCCCCTCAGCGGCACTCTGCTTCTTCCTCCGGGAGGAGGAGGGGGCACAAGCCTTAGCCCCCAATCGATGTCCCGCGGGTCGCCCCAGATCGGTGCATAAGGGGCACCGCGGGGTGGCGCTGCACTTGGCGGCCACATGTCCCGACTCGCCGCAAGCGTAGCAGCGGTCGGAACGATCGGCTTCGCATGTGCACCGCTGCCTAACATGGCCTCTTTCGAGGCAGCGGAAACACTGCAGTGGCCGCGGTGGCAGCGCCTGAATCCTGGCCGAGGACCACCCGACCAGGATCCTCCCGGAGGCAGTGATCCTGGCAAGTGCCGCAAGAGGGCACCTCGCCCACACCGTACCCATCCTCTGGGGGGAATTTCTGATCTCCCCCACTTTAATGTCCTCGGGGGAGCATTCCCCCACTACGGCCAATGCGGCCGCCACCTCCGCCGTGGTGACGGAGTCATCTAGCCCCGTCACCCTCAGCTCACCCATTTTGATCGGGTGGGCCGCCCGCACCTCCGTGCCCTCCAACGCCTGGCGGAGGCGGTCCGCTAAACGGGCGGCCTTTTCCGCCCTCCCCTCCCCGGGGATTTCGAGGACGAGCCCCCCCGTCCTGGCCCTTCTGGGCTTAAGGGCCGTAATGCCAAGCTCCCCCAGATTGACCCGCTCCCGAGCTCGCAGCATGGCTTCCGCGTAGGAGATTTGTGCTCCGGGAGCGATGGTCATGGTGACCGCCGCCGTCCTTGGCGGACGCTGCGCCTTTCCCATTGCGGGGGGAGTGGCATTCGAGGGGGGTGGCTTCTTGGCCGCCCCCTTCCCGCTCCTCTGCTTCGCCATCTTTCCGCCCCAGCGGGGGCTGGGGGCTTTCCAGGCGCTGCCTCCTCCTTCCCCTTCTTCTTGGCGGTCGCCTTGGCGCGGCGGCCGACCACAGCGGTCCATGCCTCCTGCTGTCGGGTCTCCTCCTGAATGAGGGCCATTCGTGCCTCCACGAGCGAGGGAAGGGTCGTTGGTGTTGAGGTGGCGGTTGCGGGGTTTGGCGTGTTTGGCCCCGCCTTCTTCCCTCTCTTCGTCTCCCCCTTTCTTGGTGTTGGCAGAGGGGTGGTCAGCATAGGCGCCGCCTTCCCAGCCGTCTCCGCCCTCCTGGGAGCGGACTGCAATGGCCGCCCTAAATTCTTCCCTGAGCCCGGACACGAGAGACGCTATTTCTCTCATTATGTCGGGCCCAGGGTCGCTAATCTCTTTTCCCCCCTTTTTTCTTGGTGCCGCCGCAGCCATGAGTCGCACCCTCTCCTCCGGGGGTAGAACCACATCCTCGACCACCCGGATTCGAGAGCTGGAAGCACCAGTTACGCCGATCGAGGGTGGGTCTGGTGGGAGCGGACGGTCCTCCTCCCTCCTCCTCTTCTTCTCCGCCTCTTCGCCAGACAGAGGGGAGTCAGGCCTCGCGGCTCTTTTCGCGACCCCTGAGCTTTCCGGGAGCGGGGCCTCTATGGCCGAGACCCGTGTGGTGATCTCGGCCAGACTGCGTTGCAGAACCGCGATCTGCGCCTCCTGTGCCTTCAGCTGTTCCTCTCTCTGCTGCAGCTGGCGTCGCAGCTCCTGCAGCTCCTGGCTCGCTCTGGCTGGGGCGGCTCTTAGACCCGTCTCCGTGTGGATCGCCCGGAAATTGCGGGCAGCCACACGAAGCATGCGCACGAAGGTGCCCTTGAGTCCCTTGGAGCTGCCCGCAACCTTTTCGACGTCGCGGACAAACTCCAGAGACTGCGCCACCAAGTCTGCCGTTGGGGCCTTTTTGTATTCCTCGGCAAGCTCTTCCTCGTCGGGGAGGGGCAAGGCGCTCCTGCTCGGCACCGGGGGGTCTTCTCCCGGATCCGCAATTCTCTTTTGGGCCAGTAATTCGAGCTCCTGCCGCCGCAGCTCGATGACCCGCTCCCGTCGTTGCTTCTCCCGCGCCACGCCGATATAATCTCCCGTCGTCGGCGGGCTGCCCCTTTTCCCCCGGCGACGGCTGTCCAGCGACGCGGCGGACGCATAGGACTCGTCCGAGTCCGCGTCACTGAGGCGCGAGGAGCCAGCCGCCTCCGAACAGGCCGGAGAAACGGCGGCCCTCCTCCTGGTCGGCCGCAGCTGCGGCCACGCCTCCTCGGCCCTCTGGAGCCTGATGACCGGCTGAGAGGGCAGGCCGGGCTTCATCCCGGCAGAGTTAAGCGTACCAGTAGTATTACTGGACGCAGCGGCCTGGTCGTCCACCGCTGACATCCCACGGTTGTCGGATGACGACGAAGAGGGGGCCCGCTTGACCACCCCCTCAACGCCGGTACTGGGGTGTCCCTCCCCTGCACCGTAAACGAAAGTTTTTTGAGGTGTATTCTCCATGGTAATTATGTAGTGGGTTTCCCGAGAGTCACTAGCTTGCTCCTCCTCCAGACCAATGCTGCCAGGCGCATTGGTAGACACCGGGGCCTGGCGCTCCACCACCGGTGCCTCGCGGTCGTCGGATTACGACATAGAGGGAGCCCGCTCAACCACCACCTCTACGCCGGTACTGAGAGTTCCGAGGCTCCCTGCACCGTAAGCTTCATGGAATGCCGGTCCGTCAACGAATATCCTGTCCCCGCGCCACAGCCAACCTTTTCGCCTCTCCGACCCAGGCCTTACCGGCATGGGAGGCCCTGCCAGGGTCCGTAGACCCCGCCGGCATCACCCCGGGTCATCCGCGAGGTTACTTCGGCAGGCAAGCGACGCGCCCCTTTTAGTCGCCTTTTACGACAGGCAGGGGTTACCGTGGCCGAATTCTTGCCCCCAGCCACAGGGGCGGGCGCGTCGTCAACCTACGACTGCACAGTACGGGCGGTAGACCGCCAGGCCCCCGTACAGGCAGCTGCTACTGGCGAAGTCCCGGTAAGTAACACGGGAATAGTGGAGGAAGAACGAGCCTTTGCAAGAAATTCGCGTTTGAGCAGGACACCACCGAGTGTTCAAAAGAATAGAGTTTTTAAGGCCCCTAGTATGAGGTTGGAGTCGATTGACCTTACTGGTGATGAGGCGGAAACAGAATATGAAAGTGACTCTAACAGGAGGAAAACAAAGGGGAAAAAGGTAGGCGTACCCCCCCCCCCCCCCCCCCCCCCCCGCCCCCACAACAAAGAAAGGAGAGCTTAACCCTTGAAGAAAAGGTGGATGCCAGTCTTGCGGTGATGGAGAAGATCCTCAACGTGATAAATGATCATAACGTAGTGTTTGATAATATGATATTGAACAGAGAAGGTGAGGAAGATTTTGCCCTCAAAAAAACGTATGTATCGTTAAAAGACAACATACAGGAGGTGATGTCGGCGGTGGTGGAGCTAAGGAAAGCACACACTGACCACACAGAAAAAAGGAGGAACAGAGATACTTACCACACGGAGACGAAGATAACGACGAAGTCCAATGAGATGAAGGTGGTGCAGAAACCTGAAAAAGAAATAAAGTCAGTGGGAACACAAACAGGAAGCGATGGGAGGAGTGATCTCCCCCCCCCCCCCCCCCTCTGGCAAGACAGAAGAAGAGGAAGGAGATCACCCCGCCCACGGATAAACAGGGGAAGAGGACGAGGTTTTCTGAAACACAGACGGAGACACCTAGGGATAGGATACCAGTGAATAGGGGACAAGTAACAGGTCAGGATGGGGGTGAGGTCTCTGGTGACGGTGACTGGACGGAGATTAGAAGGAGAAGAAGAAGAACGGATCCGGAGGACACTGACAGAGCAGAAACTGAAACACCCAATAGAAATATTAGGGGAGGAATGTTAAACGGTAGAGTGGCTGGAATAAAGAATACGCCTAGGAGAGCTATGAAGCCGCAGGCGATAGCGGTCCGTTTTGGAAAAGATATTTCCTTCGCCGAGGTCCTTAAAAAAGTAAAGGGCGTGGCAGGCAAGACTCCAGATGGAGTTAGAAATGTCAAACAGACCAGGGCAGGGAATCTGTTGATAGAGTTTGCACCAGGGTCGGACCTAGATGAGCTCAGAAGAAATTTGGATGGTAAGCTTGGCGCTAACGTTGAGGTGACTAAGCTACAGACCATGCTTGATGTTGAGATGAGAGGTATTGACCCCTCCGCAGAAAAGGAGGATGTAATGGAAGCCGTCAGGTCAGAGCTGGGGCATGACGCCAAAGGTGTGAGGGTCAAAATATTACGTACCGACCCAAGAATGAGCAAGATAGCGGTCATTGAAGGACCAGCGGTAGACATGCAACGGATCCTAAGAGTGGGCAGGATAAGGATCGGCTGGACGATCGTTACGGCGAGGGAGATACCAAGACTGCTCCGTTGTTTTAAATGTCATGGCATTGGCCACATAGCGAGTGGTTGCAAACTCGTTGTTGAGGAAGGCGGGTTATGCAGAAAGTGCGGGGAACCTGGTCATCACATGAAAGAGTGTGCGAGCGAGCCTAAATGTAGATTATGCGTTGCGGATGGCTTACCCGAGAACCAGATAGGACACGTTGCGGCCTCGGTAAGGTGTCCTAGATACAAGGAGGCTTTAAAGAACAAAAGGCGCGCATGATCTGCATATCCTACAAGTGAATTTAAATCATTGTAGGCTTGCAAATGACCTAGTAAACGTCAGTGCAAGAGAACATGACGTAGACATAATGGTGTTATCAGAGCCATATATTACACCAGAAAATTGGTTCACGGACCTGTCGGGAAGGGCATCTATATGTGTCACTAACTTGGGTATAGCTAAAAGCAGAAAATTAACAGTACTGAGCTGCGGCATGGGTTTCGTCGGTATAAAATATAACGATATAGGTTTAGTGAGCGTGTATGCCTCCCCAAATGATAGTAATGAGGAGTTTGAGGCTCAATTGGCTGCGATGGAGATTTTCCTAGAGAGCATTCGCAAAACATTGACCAAGATCTTAGTCCTAGGGGATTTTAACGCAAAATCCCCACTATGGGGATCGAAAAAATGGTGTGGTAGGGGAAGAACCCTTTTTCAGTGGTGTAACAGTCTGGGCCTGATTCCCGTGATATCCAAGGGAGGCGTTACCTGTGAAAGGGGAGGAGGATCGGTAATAGACCTCCTCTTTTGTAGTAATGATGCCATGAAACAACACACATCATCGGAGATTTTGGACACTTTTACAGCGTGGGACCATAAATATATTATTCATAAGTTTGGTGAAAACGCTATAAGTGGTGAACCAGCAAAGGACCCCTTTGACCTAGGAAAAGGGAAAATTGATGAAGAAGGTCTCCTGTGTGAGCTTGTTCAGAAATATGGGGACGCGAATTACGATAGGAGAGGTAAAACCGGTACCACCATGGAGGTGGACAAGTTCATCGATGATGTAGAGAAATTAGTGAATAAATATACCACCTACAGAGGACCCTATAGAGGAAATCGCCACCCTGTATACTGGTGGAATGAGGAGACGGCTAGATATAGGAAGGATGTAAATAAGGCAAGGAGAAGGTTCACAAGGTTGAGGGCTAAGGGAAACAAGAAAGATATAGAGGAGGCTCATAAGGATTTTAAGATGGCCAAGAAAGCAATGAATCGTGAAGTAAAAAAGGCTAAAAAAACCAGCTGGGAAAATATGTTATCGGAAATAGATAAAGATATATGGGGTAGACCATATAAGCTGGTCACTAGGAAGCTCAAGGGGAAGGTTAATAAACCAGACATCTTGAGCCCTGAGGAAGTCGAAGAGGTGGTCAAAAAGCTCTTTATCCTGTCACCACCGAAAGGAGAGATTCCTGAAAGAAAAAACGAACAAGAGGTTAGAGAGAATATATATGACGTTGAACACTTACCTGATGAATCCGAAAGTCCTGGTGTACCTGAAAATAAAAATAAAAATAAAAATAATAATGATGTGTATGTTTCCACAATAGACGCGCGATACTTACCTGAAGAGCCGCGAGATATACCTGAAAGAGAAAGGGAATACGATGGGACTAATATGTATGAGGAGAGGATGGATGTACCTACCTGTATCAGACACAGAAGAGTGGGAGGGATCACACCCGAGGAGATCATCGCTGTGGTGAGGGGTATGCCGGTGAACAAGGCACCTGGTCCAGACAGGTTGTCTTCGGCAGTAACGAAGAAATTTAGTATGAAAGCGTCTAGGTGGCTTGCACACATCTACAATACATGCTATGCCAAGGGTTACTGGCCATGGTCGTGGAAGACAGGACGCTTAGTTCTGTTACCTAAAGGGAAGGCCACGAAAGCCGAAGAGAGGGCATACAGACCTCTCTCGATAATCCCCTGTTTAGCTAAAATCCTAGAAAAGGTAATCAAGACCCGTTTATTAAAGGAATTAGAGAAAAATGATCTGGCAGAGAACCAGTTCGGGTTTAGAAAAGGGCGATCAACAATCGACGCGATGGACAGGTTGGACTATATTTGGCAAACGGCACGTAGAGATGGAAGACACTGCCTCCTGGTGCTGTTGGATGTAAAAAACGCATTCAACACCATCAGGTGGAGCAGTATCATTAGGTGTATGGTGGAACGAGGATTCTCTCCGGAGCTAATTGCATTTATACGTAGCTATTTAAGCGAGAGATGGATTGTGTACAACTCCGCCGAGGGGGAACTACGTTACCAGGTTTTTGGCGGGGTTCCACAGGGTTCTGTGATAGGACCAATACTGTGGAACCTCGTGTACGATGGCCTGTTGAGAATACGACTACGCAGAGATGTGTACCTGATAGCGTACGCGGACGATATTGGCATCGTGGTCGTCGATGAAGACCTGCATAGGATGGTGTATGTGGCAGAAGAGACGATTAAGGACCTGGGTGACTGGTATAAAGAGGAGGGCCTGAGCCTGGCAAACCACAAAACTGAGGCCGTATTGTTAACAGGGAGAAAGGTAACGGGTGGTCTTAGGCTGATTTGCGGGGACGCTGAGATCAAAACGTCCCGCGAAGCAAGATATCTGGGTCTCATTCTTGAAATGAACCATGGTTTTAAGAGCCACATTGAAACGGCCTGTAACAAGGCCCTAAAATACGCTAATGTACTGGCCCAATTGATGCCCAATATAGGTAGAGCGGGTAACCAGGCCCGCAGGCTATAATACAGGGTGGTAGAATCGGTTATCCTGTATGCTGTCCCATTATGGGTCACCGGTCTGCAATTCAGTATGAATCGGAAGCTATTGGCGGGCACACAACGTACGGCGCTTTTAAGATTAGCACAAGCCTATAGGACCACGTCAGTTGATACGCTTTGCGTCATAACGGGACAGATACCCATTGATTTGATGGTAGAGGAAAGGGGGCGTATCTACAAGAAGAGGAAAGAAAATAAAAACTACACTACCGAGGAGATTAGCAGGACCAAAAAGGAAGAGAGGGAGGTGACCTTAGAGACCTGGGAACGGAGATGGACTGAGTCAATGAAGGGCAGATGGACATTCGAGCTGATTCCCAAGGTAAAGGACTGGATAACATGGGGACCGAAGCTTTTGAGTTACCATGTAACCCAGGTACTAACAGGTCATGGTTGCTTCGGCACTTACCTGTGGAAAATTGGTAAAAAGGAAAGTTCCGGATGTTGGTTCTGTGAGGGCTACGAAGACAGTCCAGAGCATTTTTTGTTTAGCTGTAGTCGTTGGAGGGTGGAAAGAGCCACATTGAATACTACTATAGGCGAACCTCTTGGAGTTGGAAATTTTATTAGGTTATTAGGTGACAACAGGTATAGGGACCATATAATCAGGTTTGTGACCGGCTCATTAAGAGACAAAGAGAAATACGAGAGAGATAGAGAAAACGAGATGAGAATAAGGAGAAACCCGAGCGCTCGTAGTAAAAAAAGATGATATTATGCTTGAAAATAGAGCCCCAATGTAACAAAATCAATCTCTAGTCAAGGCGCCATATACACGCCGATTCTCTGTGTGATGTTGTCTGTATTTATTTATTTATTATTTAGTCTTAAGTACGTATGCTTCGCATAACCACTTTGTGGAGATTTTAATCCAAACAGACGCACCTATTGGGTAGCTTTTTTTTTTTTTTTTTAATTTGACAAAGGGTACTTTTACCTGATTATCGTTTTAAATCATGAGCATGGCCGTATAGGCCTTTGTACTGTGTTGACGCGGAGCATTTGTACAATATGTATTCACTCCGGTGTTTGGAAACGCCTTATGGGCGTGCCCCGCTTGAAGGAGGAGCTGTTACGGGCCTTGTAGGCGGACCTATGATAAGCCACGCCTTGTGACGGATAGGATCAGCAGAACTGTAGATACGATCCTTTGGATACGGGGTTAGATCACTTGTACAAGGCGGAGCATAGTAGCCTAATACCATTAGATGGGAATACGTTCATACGGTAGGAGAGCGGGTTCAGTCTTACCACGCCCAGGTGGGCTGAGTCGTTCGTAGCCACGCCCATAATATATGGAGGAGGAGCGATAGGAAAATGTATGGGTGATGGAAGCTAAAGGACACCCCGTGATTTTTGACGCCAGACGCCACCCCCCCCCCCCTCCCCCCGAAGTAATGCCTCAGATCACTAGATCGCGGCTGTTCCGGGGTGGAGGGGATAAAACAGGCAACCAGAACGGGAAATCGAGGTGGGTTTTTTAGTGGGTAGACCAAGCCTTGGGAGTCCCACAGTACCGGGCATTTAACATCGTTGCCCGGTCTGCATAAATGCATTTTTTCCACCTCGTTAAAATAAAAAAAAAAAACAAAAAGGTTAGGGTTAGGTTAGGGTTAGGGTTAGGGTTAGGTTAGGGTTAGGGTTAGGTTAGGGTTAGGTTAGGGTTAGGGTTAGGGTTAGGGTTAGGGTTAGGGTTAGGTTAGGGTTTCACATGATGCTGCTGTGTCGCTTGTTTGGAAATTGAGACTGAATTGCTATTCTAGTGGTTAATGGATTGATGGGTTGGCGGTATAATAATCTTGGGCGTTATGATAGTTTATGATAGCTTATGATGGTTTATGATAGTTATGTTTGCTATATTCTGCTTCATTTTTCGTTGTACATGCTACTCTTTGTATTCGGCCAAATTTACATAGTTCACACTTTCTCGTAGTATAAATTACGTTTGTTATCGCTCTAGTGTTGCGTACACAGCTGTCGCTCCACCACAAATGCTCACAAGGATAATGTCTTGCGAGGATGCGTGATCATCTGCATTTACATATGATACCATTGTATCGTTTGTTTTTAGTTTGTTCTAGCTTGATTTTGGCTGCTTTCCTGGCATCTGTCAGTGTATCATTCCTCTTCTTTCCTTCCTTCCTTTAGGAATTTTCCTGCAATCATGTTTGGAAACGTTTGAATTGTCCAGAATTGTTATTCCTGTCTCCTCTTTTATTGTGTATTTAATATACTTAAAATCCGGAGGGCACACATCTCGTGTCATTTGTGGATTGTTTTGCGGGTTGGTGATCTATATTTCTATATTTCTTTTCTTCTTTGGTCGACATGACGGTGTGATGGCGCTGCGGGCCTACTTGGTGGTTGGTAACACTGCGGACGCTTTTGGGAACAAATTACTCGTGTTATGTCATGTCATGTCGTATTATGCCGGGTTCACATGCACCTACTTTACTTTCTTTTCTTTATGGGTAATTTGCACGCCTCCTATTGTTGCTCGGCTTGTTGGGTGTCTGATGCGCTGTGTTTGCTAGGGGTATGGTGTATGTGTGAAGAGCATGTATAGAACAGGACATTGAAGGTGGCAGCCTTAAAGACATAGCACAGCTGACTGGGGGAAGAACTCGCCCCGGGACTTTGCTGTGATAAAAGAGTGCTCGTCCTCGCAGGACAGGCGGGTGAATCGGGGCGCGATCACCCGTTGAGCAGGAGCTCCGGTCCCTGATCGTGGCCGAAGAAGAAGCCCTGTGATCATATATGGCAGGCGGAACACATGGCGCGATCACCCGTTGAGCAGGAGCTCCGGCTCTTGGTCGTGACCGAAGAGAAAGTTTCCTGACCTCGCTTATGGCAGGCTGGTGAAGACACGGCTCGATCACCCGTTGAGCAGGAGCTCCGGATCCTGGTCGTGGCCGAAGAGAAAGCTCCCTGACCTCGCTTATGGCAGGCTGGTGAAGACACGGCCCGATCACCCGATGAGTGGGAAAGTCCTCCGGTGCCGATCGTGGTTGAAGAAAAATGGCCTGTCCTCGTGGAAGGACAGGTGGGCGTGATGACTGCAAGGAAAAGCCACATCTTCATTATCAACCTACCATGGTGGACGAAGATCGGGGCGATCAACCGGGAGATACGAAGTCCCGGGTCCTGATCGTGACCGAAGAAAAAGTCCTGTCCTGGCAAGTGCCAGGCAGGCTGAACACACGGCCCGATCACCCGATGAGTGGGAAAGTCCTCCGGTGCCGATCGTGGCTGAAGAAAAATGGCCTGTCCTCGTGGAAGGACAGGTGGGCGTGATGACTGCAAGGAAAAGCCACATCTTCATTATCAACCTACCATGGTGGACGAAGATTGGGGCGATCAACCGGGAGATACGAAGTCCCGGGTCCTGATCGTGACCGAAGAGAAAGTTCCTGGCCTTGCTAATGGCAGGCAGGTGAAGTAGGGGCGCGATCACCCGTTGAGTGGGAATCCTCCGGTTCCTGATCGTGGCCGAAGAAAAATCCTGTGCTTTCTTGTACAGGTTGAAACATCCTACCGCTAGATCGGAGGTGCGACGGCGTGGATCCTCAACCCCCCGTGGTTGCCTAGCGCACGGCGGATTGAGGTGAGACGAAAGCGCAAATGTAAGCTAGGGAGCAGAAGCGCCGTTGCGGCTATCGTCGGTACATCTGGGATATCCCCAAAGGATGAAAGGGTACCGACGGCCTACGTTAGGGAAGAGGTTTTTAGTGGGTAGTATATCAGGCCGCGGACGCCCCTTCTGGGCGCCGCTGGGTCGCCCCTTCTGGGCTGTAACCCTTTTCCTTTGTGCTCGCCCTTCAGGGTTGGGCTGTCAGGTTGCCCCTTCTGGGTTGCCTCTTTGGGTTTGCCCCCACCAAATGGGCGCCAGGCCCCCCTTCAGGGGATATGAGTCCCACACTGCCCGGGCCCCCTCTAGCTGAATAGACGAACAGGGGATAACCTGCGCGTGCGTAAATGCATTTTCCTCTTCTGTCAACCAAAAAAAAAAAAAAAAAAAAAAGGGTTAGGTTAGGGTTAGGGTTAGGGTTAGGGTTAGGGTTAGGTTAGGGTTAGGGTTAGGGTTTGAATTACTCAGGTTTATTGCCATTCGGTGTGTTTGTCTAACTGACTAACACAATATGGCAAGCTCGGGTGACGGTAGAATGAACAAAGTGAACATTACTGAAGGATTTGATGAAATTTTTAATATTGAATGGTCGGAGTCTGGTAGCGGCAGTGATCCGGGTACCGGAATTGCGGAAAGCTCCGCGCCTCCTCCGGTGCTCTTGCCCTTGACGCGTGATTCTGACGCTGGTAAAGGTGCTAGGGAAATAAAAAGGCGCAAAGCAGAGGATGCTAGGAGAAACAATGGTGGGGGCAAGGGGGCTTATAATGCTACCCCTTTACGGGATGCTGTGGCTCCTTCTGCTTCTGCAATGATCTTGGCTGCTACTGCCCTTGCCTCCACTGACTCGGCATTGAAAAAGGGAAAAGTTCTTGGCCCGGTTATAAAGAGATGTGATGTCATACGTCCTCCGCGTTCTAAGGAGGCTGCTGCTGGCAATGCTACTGTAGCCATTTCGGTGGGCAACCGGGCGGAAGTACGTGCTGGATCAGGGGTGAAAGAAGGGGAACGAGAGCGACAACAACAACCAAAGTTGTGCCTTTCAACATTAAGGAGGCTCAAGGCCTTATCTGAGCGTTCGGTGGTTGGAGCTGTGCCAACGGCTACCATGTCCCCGTCAGCGCCTGCACTGAAGCCTGCGCCGAAGCCAGTTTCGTCATCTATATGGGGGGCTACAGTGACGAATAGATCTGGACCTGGAGCTGCGCGAATTCCTGTAGACTCAAAGGCTCCTGTGACCTCCGGGATACCAAAATCTACGGTGGACCTGGTAGGCTCCCCGATCCCGATGGTCTCTGCGGTTTCTGCGCTTCCTGATGGTACCACTGGTGCCAGTAGCA